CGCCTTCCTCTCCTTTAAGGGGTTTTCTCGGGTCAGGGGGTGTGGGCGGAGATATAAAGGCTCCCCCGGCACAGAGACGCGAACTCGTGACTGCTTTTAAATCCATTGTTAGATCAGGTTGCCGAGCAACTGCAGTGCTTTGTACACATGTTAGCGCGTTCAGCCACCCCGCCCACAAAGAAATCTAATTAATCAGGAACAAAATACTGATGAAAATTTGGCATTTATAAATTACTTTTTCCCTAAATGATGAATGGCTCAATAAAAGGCAAAATACCACGTAGAAGGTCAAGAAGCAAAGGGATAGATAAAATCAATAAAGATGCAATAGAGCTGCATGAAATAACTGGAAAGAAATAGTCCAACATTGGCAGAGATGAAACAGGCTTCATGTAATTCAAATTACAAAAAAAAAAAAAATACTTTTTTAGAGTCGAGAAATCATGAAACCAGAGAATGAGTCACATTATGAGCATAATCACCTAACTTCATCGCTTTAGGTAAGTCGAGGAAGTGAAAATGATCTGAGAACTTCCTTTGGTACCTAAACAGACTCGGAAGACTAAATGACCTTTGAAGAAAGTCATGGCAGAAAGTGATGTCTCACTTTCCTGTTTCGCATATGAAAAAAAATAACATCTGTTTTTTTAAAATGGCACACATCTTGCAATGCAAAATCTAATATATTTCTACTTTTAGCTTCTTGTTACCAACCGTCTAGTTCCATAACATAGATTCTAAAATTAACTGTTAGGTTTGATCTCTTGGTTTATTAACATTTCACTAACTGTTTTAGAAAATATTTCTTCAGTCCTCCGAGGTGGAAGAACCAGTTTTGGTGTAGTAACATGCTACCTCTCGAATTTAGATTTTTACTCAAACATATGAACTAAAACTTAATATATAAACAGGTCGTTAGGAATCCACGTAAAACAATAGGATTCCTGTTTTCAGTGACCTTTTATGCAAAACACTAGGAAGTTAAATCGAATATAGAACCTTAAGTATAAAGGTTTTTTTTTTTAGCCTCCTAAAGATAATTACTGGATTCGGCCATGTTCAAATAGGACAGATCATAACCATGTAAATTAGTTTTTTCAATAAATTAGAAGTTTGGGGGCGTTTGTCAACTAAACGTTGGGATAATCAGAATAAACGGCAACAACATTATGTCACAATAAACGATGGCAAAGTTCTTTGATACTACCGGCAGCCTGTTTGAAAATTGGCTACGAATGTCGTTCAAGATCGTAAACCATGTTTCCAACCTTAGTATAAGAGCAGTTTAAGTTAGTAGATTGTCCAAATGAAACGCGAAGACCGTCCAAACGGTCGATCCTATTCAACAGAATACTTTTAGAGGATTTTTTAGGACCTAAATTCGGAAAAACCCACACCTAAAATGAAACAAAATACAACAATAATAGCAACTCTGACGCTGAGATAGATGCAATAGTTGATGTTTTGAAGTGTATTATGGAATGTAACACGTAAACTTTATTATCAATTTTCTAATCCATTTCATGTAACTATCACTTTTTTTTCTTTTTTTATAAAGGCGTCCACCACAAGGATCATTATCGCCTTGCGTCAGTGGTTAAATTTTATATTTTAGAGTATATCTCTGTCTGTCTTAGAAAGTCAAAAGGTCTGTCGGTCATCTGTAAATTGTCCAGTAAAGCAGAATAAATATTTTGAGGGATATCAAAGAGTGATCTTTCGTTTTCATTTGATCTGCATTCTGTTAGAAGGTGTTTTTTCCATCTTTATGAAACTGATAAGATCTGTTGTCTGTCCCTCACTCTCTTTGAAATATTTCTAAGATACCCCCGGAAACCAAGTTACCAAGTTCAAAAGAAACTTGCCTACCTTACACCAAGCCTGTAGACGAGACACAATTGCACACGAGACCACCTCCTTAAAAGAGATCAGTTATGCACAGCGTATCCCAGAAGTGTTGTCATTGACCAGCAAGGCGATGGTCCCTTGCCAAACTCTTGCACAACACCTGCTCTTCCAGCATTCTATGGCCTTCCTCGTTCATCTCCTCCGTAATCGAAAAGAAGACAGATAAAACGTTATCATAAATTTACATATTTTCGAAAGGCCGGTTTCGGTCAATGACCTTCAGAAGGTTACGAAGTGGCTAAGCCTTATGGAAAGCTCTCTGTAAAGAAAAAAGAAAAAGTTTATTACAAGTCTGTGTTATGAAACGGTACTGCACAACTTTAACGCATGAAGCCGGAATACTCATATATCGGTTTTTTAATTCCAAGATATAACCAGTACGTGAAGATCCACACTGGTTGTTCGGTTGCAATTTTATTTCGAGAAACATTTCAATACTGGTCCAATCTCTAAATTAAGTTTTCATTATTGAGTTTTCTTTAAGTCTTCTTTAGAAGTCTAATAAAGTAAATAGTAAGGTTCCATTCTTATAGAGGATTTATATGTAAAAGAACTAACCGTTAAACCAACCGATAAAACTTAACACTTGATTCTAGAAGAAGTGGAGTGGAGTAAAATCAGCAAACAGAGAATAAAATAAAAATTAAACGTTCAAATAACGAATCGAAAGCAATTGTTTATTTTTCGTCAATTATATATTTGAATTAATAAATAATTTACATAACTCCCGAATGCCTGTTGAATCAGGCTCGGAGGAGAAAGCTACAGGCCATCTATTTTTAACTGTTGCATTACGTCTTCCATGCTCAGGAAGGATTTGGCCACTTAAACCGTTCTTTTGAGTAACCGTTAACAAGCAGCAGTTAAAACTTAAAGCCTGCCTGGAAGAACGTCTGTCTGTTCAAAAAATGATATGTTATTTTTAACTATATATTATTCTAATATGTTTTTCTCAAGGGAACTAGTTTCTTTTTTTATTAAAATATATCGACAGTCACGTTGCAAAACCTGTTAAAGCAAAACTAAAAATATTGTGATATGAAAAAATAAATGCACTTTTTATTTTATGAACTTTTGATTTCAATCTCTGTTTATTGCAAGATAAAGATAAGAAATGTATCAAGTTACCTTTTTGGTTTACATTTATAAACTTTTTGCATCCAATAAACTTTTTACAAAGTTTTGCTGTGTGGCTATCGAAACATAGATATAACACACAGGGTGTCCCTACCAGAGGAAAAAATTTTTAAGACTGATAGGAGACCTCAAGAGGTATAAAAATGTCGATAAACAATTTTCAGGGAGAAAGTAGGAATTCAAAGTTTGTGTTTTTTTAAGTAAGTGACGTTTTTTGTTGAGGTAGCTATCACTAAAAACTATTTAATAGTTGAGAATTATTTCAATGTAAAGTAGATAAAATTTATGTTCAATGAAAGTGGAATTTGTCCTTGCTAAGCTAAGCTAAGTTTTATTTTTAAAAAAATCATAAATTCTTCGAAATTTTGTTTCTATCGGCCTCCAAATATATTACATAGACCCCACTTTTAGAAAAACTTTCCCGTTTAATAAACTTTAAGTCCTTATTAATTAAATTAAGATTTATGATGGAAAAACTTGAGATTCACCTCCATTTGTGTAAAAAAAATTATTTCTTCAATGATCAGATGTCTTGAAGTAAAAAACTAAATTTGAATTTTTACTTTCACTTACTTTTTTATTTTATATAGTAAGGGTGAGTATTGCGATCGTGAACATTTTGGAATCTGAGTTTTCAACGGAAATACATGTTTTGAGGTCTGTGTGTGTTTGAGTTAACAGCCTAGTTCAAAAACGAAAAGCCGTACGAAAGTGAAATTGTATATTAAAGGTTTTTAAATGCTTGGGATGTTACGGCAACTTTTTCGTCAAATCGGTTAACCGGAAGTGACACTTTATATCATGGACTAAACATATTTTTACGACTTTCTCGAAAACGGCTCTAAATATTTTGATTAAATTCATCATATCAGTGTAAAATTGAGCAGTTTTTAATAAAATGTAGGTTTTATTTTGATTGATGTTCTCTAGAAGGGCTTTTAATATTAATATTAATTTTCAATATTAGCTTCCCTTAAATAACCTTTAATTTTTTTTATTTGAAACAATTGACCATTCCACATTAACCTACAATATAAAAGATAGTTTAATATAAAATATGAAAGAATTTGATGATAAACTAAAGGAGAAATAAGAGATCGTAACGGAGACTAGTTTTATTGAGGAACCGAAGGAATACGAGCGCACCCGAGCTCGCCCGAAAGATTAGAACACGCTTCCATACGTAACATGAGCTTAATAAAATAAGGACTGTGACAATATCATGTAAATATACATATGAGGTTTTCATAAATGCTATTTTTGGTATTATTTAATATTTAATTGTACAGATTACAGCTGTATAAATATTAAATTTTTATATATAAGGGTACTTATACAAATAAAAATATCCACAATGAAATATAAATCAATATAGCATTTATAATTTTTACTTTCACTTCCCCTTTGTCTTAAAACACTTATTTCTGTTAAGAAGAGAGTGGTAAGTGAAAGTTGTGTGATGCGCGCACCGCACCAGATTTTTTAAAACTCAGATTACCTACGAAAAATTTATAATGAATCGAATTTATTCATTAGAAATATAATAATTATTCATTTTATCAAAAACTATTAAATTAGTATTATAAACAACATTTAAAAGCTTTTAATCCTTTTCTCTATCCATAATTGGAAATGTCAGTAAAGATAATTCATTTAAAAAAAAAAAAAGAAGAAGCTAATCATGATTATGTTTAAATCACAACTTGCACGAGGTACGAAGTGGATCTTTCAGACATACGGAGTTCATCCTCGTTTCTATGATGAACATCAACTTTATATGAATATCTGTTCATTATAAGAGCAGATAATTTTAGTATAAATTTGAATATAATTCCAAATAATAACTTATATTGATAATATAATTGTTTATAAATACAATACAAAATAATAACTGTTATATAATAGATAGATATAATATAATGAATATATATTAACTGTTTTTTTTCTGGTTTCAGATGTTAAATGAAGGACCAGGCCGCAAAGAATGTTCAGAGCTCTCTTAGTTTTCATCGTAATCTTTCTCAGATGTAAGTATGATTTACGTCAGTAGAATCTTGTGAGTGGATCAGCTGATGAGAAGGTTGTCTCCTCAACTCCTCTCTCAGTTTTTACCAATTTTATAGCGGAATCTCTCTGATTATTCACGTGATACAGTTAAAGTGTATATCAGAGCAGTTGATATTTACTGTTGGCATCTTTTTTTTTGTTATTTTAAGAAAAAAAAAAAAAAAAAAAAAAAAATTTTTTTTTTTTTTTTTTTTATTTATTTATTTATTTTTCTCTTATGATATGCGGTATGATCAGCAAGTGATGGCCAGTAAGGTGCCCAAGAGGTCTCGGTCAGACGGAGTTAGCTCACCAGCCAAACAAAGGACTCGTCGCTGCCTACGAGAAATACCTCCAGTGACCAAAATGAACACTTCAGAACCAGAACCTCAGCCCCAACCAGGTACGTCTGCACAAGAAACGATTGAAGAATCACCTTTCTTTACTCCAAACCCCTACCAAGTGCTTCAAAATGACAGAGAAGTAATGGAGTCTGCAGCAATACCCAGAGAACCAAAGCCTCCTCCGATATTTGTGAAAAATATAAAAAATTTCCAGATGTTCTGCACCCAACTAAATAAAATCTGCTCTGGCAGTTATTCATGCCTTAACAGGACCAATGACACCAAAATAACACCTGATTCTGCAGAAGCCTACCGAAAAATAGTGAAGTACTTATCAGAAACAAATGCGAATTTTCACACTTACCAGCTGAGGCAGGAAAGAGCTTTACGAGTAGTGATAAGAAATTTACATTCCTCAACCCCCACTGAAGTTATTAAAGAAGAACTAACGACGCTTGGTTTCAATGTACGCCAGGTAACAAACGTTTTGAAGGAGGACAGGGAGCAGCCAGGATTACGAAATAGGATCCCACTACCATTGTTTTTCGTGGACTTGGAGCCATCACCAGGTATCGAAAAAATATATGATATCACAAGAATATACTACACAATGGTGAAAGTTGAGAAGCCATATCCCAAGAGAGACATCGTGCAGTGCCATAATTGTCAGACCTATGGCCACACGAAGACATATTGCCACCATCTGCCGCGTTGCGTGAAGTGCGGTGAACAGCACAAATCTGTAGAGTGCACCAAACCTATACAAGATCCAGCAGTATGTGCCCTATGCTTGGAGGGACACCCGGCCAACTACAAAGGCTGCCAAATTTACAAGAATCTCAAAACCAGACACCAGAAAAACCGGATTCAAGATGAAGCACTAAGAACAAGAAGAGAGAGAGAGCCTTCCAGAATTGTAAACAATGATGTATCATTCTCCCAACTACTTAGAGGTAAGACTTTAACCGATAAATGTCAAGCCCTGCCACAACAACCTCAAACCCAACCTCAAAATCCTCTTCATCCTAATATACCTAACCACCAACAACAAATTCCTCATATTCCTCCTCCTTCAAATGCAACAGATCTCACAAGTTTGTTAGCATCTTTCCTCACCGATTTCAAATCCCTTGTTACTCCACTCATATCACTCCTCACGAATCTCGTATCTCACCTCATCCCTCCTCTGAAAAATCCTTAAATGACTCACATCCCTAAACCCATATCCATTCTCCTTTGGAATGCGAATGGTGTTAGAAATCATACAGACGAACTATCTACTTTACTACTTGACAAGAACATTGATGTGGCACTAATTACTGAAACTCGACTAACCACTAAACAGCACTTCAATATACCACAATACCTGACATATCGTACTGACCACCCTGACGGAAAAGCACATGCCGGTACTGCTGTAATTGTACACCAATCCCTCTCCCATCACGTACTCCCATTACCAATACATGATTTCCTACAGTCCACCGCTATCGTGATAAAAACCTTCTCCTTTCCGGTCACTCTTGCATCAGCGTATTGCCCTCCTAACCGATCCATATCCAATGCCCAATTCAGTTCTCTCCTCGACTCCTTAGGACATCACTTCATCTTGGGTGCAGACCTAAATGCCAAGCACCAACAATGGGGTTCCAGAACCACGAATTCTCGTGGCCGAACCCTGCTGTCTGCACTCAATTCCCAACGTTTTCACCTCCTTTCCCCCAACTCTCCTACCTACTGGCCCACAGATCCCAACCGTAATCCTGATCTTCTTGATTTCTTTATCCACAGCGGCTTAAGTCCCCTCAATTGTTCCATTACACGTCTAAATGAACTTTCCTCTGACCATAGTCCTCTAATCCTTAATGTTTCACTTGAACCTGTTCCCAAACCTTCTCCACCGTCATTCATTAGGGGCCCAGTAAACTGGGACCTTTTCCGCCAAATAATCTCCGATAATATTGATCTCAACATATCCCTCAAAACTCCCGATGACCTTGATAGTGCCGTAAATTCCTTTACTACCACAATCCAACAAGCCGCCTGGACTGCCTCCTTCCCTAAAGACTCCTCCAGAATTCCTAAAAAGACCATTCTACCCCAACACCTCCTTGACCTAATCCACACCAAACGCCGTGCCAGATTATTGTGGCAACGTACCCGACATCCTGCCGACCGCTGCTCCTATAATTATTACTGCAAAAAATTAAAACTGGAATTAGCCACCTTCAGATCACATTCCTTCAACTCCTACCTATCCTCCCTCTCTTCTCGCGACAATTCCCTTTGGAAAACCACAACCAAAATCCTAAATCCTCACCGCATTTCCCATCCCCTCCGACGAGATGATGGCTCCTGGGCAGCATCTGACGAAGATGAGGCTGAGGAGTTCGCCATTCACCTATCCAATACATTTATTTCACATCCGGAATCCCATCCTGCCCACACCATAACAGTAGAAGAACTCCTTACATCACCAATCCCACTTTCCTTGCCCCCAAAAGCTATTCATCCTTCCGAAGAGAAATTTCAATTAAAAAAACTAATCCCCCGTAAAGCTCCTGGACATGATCTCCTTACCCCTCAAATCCTTCGACAACTTCCATCCAAAGCAGTCATATTCCTTACATATATCTACAATTGTATCCTACGCACCACCCACTTCCCTCTGCTATGGAAACACTCCACTATTATCCTTTTCCCAAAACCAGGCAAACCTCCCAATATCTCAACATCCTATAGACCAATTAGCCTACTCCCAATCCTTTCAAAAATTTTTGAAAAGATCCTGTTGAAACGAATCCTACCCATTATAGAATCCCAAAATATTCCTTCCCATCAGTTTGGTTTTCGCTCCCAACATTCTACTGTTCAACAAGGACTCCGAGTTGTTGATCATATTTCCTCAGCTCTAGAAAACAAGGAATACTGTTCGGGTGCATTTCTGGACATTGCACAGGCATTTGACCGGGTATGGCACTCCGGACTGCTCTTCAAGCTTAAAATCCATTTACCTCAGTCCTTGTACCTAGTCCTCCGATCCTACCTCTCTGACCGCTCCTTCCGAGTTCGCTGTGGAACAGAATTTTCCAATATCTACTCCGTTAAAGCCGGTGTTCCCCAAGGCAGCGTCTTGGGTCCCGTGCTTTACATCCTCTTTACTGCTGACATCCCTGTTCATCCCGATACTTTTCTTGCAACATTCGCTGACGACACCGCAATCTTATCATCCAACTCTGATCCCAACATAGCATCCTTAAATCTCCAAAACCACCTCACCTTGATTGAGCACTGGTGTAATAACTGGCGCATTAAAGTTAATGAATCTAAATGCCAACATATTACCTTTACACTCCGACGCAGCTCCTGTCCACCAGTACACTTTAATTCCATCCAGCTTCCTTACTCAGACACAGTCCGGTATCTTGGTTTTCATTTAGACCGAAGACTAACGTGGAACCCACATACTAGACTCAAAAGACAAGAACTCAACCGACGATACGGCCAGCTATACAGACTACTAAACAGAAAATCCAAACTTTCTATTGAAAACAAATTACTTATCTACAAGACAATACTGAAACCTATATGGACATACGGACTTGAACTGTGGGGGACAGCAAAAGCTTCTAACATCAAACGTATTCAATCCTTTCAATCTAAAGTCCTTCGAACAATAGTTGATGCTCCGTTCTATGTAAATAACAAAATCCTACACCATGACCTTAATATCCCATTTGTCCTAGACCTTATTCCAGAAAAATTCTCCAAATTTCACCAGAACCTTACCTATCATCCAAATCCCCTTGCACAATCTCTATCCAGCACCACCCATCCTTACAATCCTCCTCGAAGGTTGAAGCGGCAGTGGCCCAGAGACCTTCTGTAAATAAGCATCTATTGGAGTTTTGGCAATGGCCAGATCCTCCACTCAAGCCCGAGTGTGTATGATTAGGTTAGTTCTTTTGTTTATATACATTTATTTTATTTTATTGTATTTATTTTTATTTTATTTTATTGTATTTATTTTTATTTTATTTTATTGTATTTATTATTATTAAGTTTCTGTATTATTATTATTTTTTTTATTTATTGTAAATAGAGTGTGAGTGCGTTCTCTGAACACTATTACAAATGTCCTTGATGTGACAGAATGTGATATTTCTAAATAAACAAAAATATATATATAATAGAATCTTGTATATCAAGTTTTTTTAGTTTTGATTGAAATAGATAATTGAGTAGCTAGTTACCAGAGGTGGGATTTTTCACTTCAATGGAAATTGAGATTTCGATTAGGCCTGATGGTTTCCTAAAGCTGTCTTACAGGTGGTCCTAAACTTAACATCTCTAAATTTTGAAAATCTTATTTTACTGTTTTATGCTGTACAAAAGTGAAATTGGAGACGTCCTCTTTAGATGGCATTTTTTAAAAAACGTTTTGCTTTTCTCTCAAATCGATACAAGTTTTAATTGTTTATTCAAGACAATGCTTTAACAGAGGCTTTTTAAATACCGAATAAAAATCATAAAAGCTTAGGCAACGATACACTTATTTGCCTTACAAACTTGTAATGATCCATCACCGTCTATAATGGACGGAAAAAATATAAGGCAATCGAGAATTTTTGTATATT